TGTTTGCAATGGAACCAAGTCATCTATGTGTAACACCCTTGAACATATCACACGGAAGAATGTGCACAACTCCGTTATTGCATCCCATATCGAAGTTGGTATCATCCCTCGTAAAGCAATAGGAAGCAATCGTTGCATAAACACATGACAATCATGACTTTTGAAGCTATAAAAGCTAGAATCTTCTAAGTTCATACAACTCCCTATGTTTGAAGCATACCCATCTGGAAACTTCAACTTCTTCAACCATGCACACACTTGTTTCACTTGTTGTTTGCTCAAACTGTACGATGACTTTGGTTTCACTACTTTGTTGCCTGACATAGCAATGTGCAAATCCCGTCGATCGCAATGAACCTCTACATCTCTTCTCGCCTTTACATTGTCTTTTGTTTTTGACGTATCCATGACGGTGTTAAAGAGATTCTCAAAAACGTTCTTCTCAATATGCATGACATCGAGGTTGTGTCGGATCAACAACGTCTTCCAATATGGCAACTCCCAAAAGATGCTTCTCTTTACCCAATTATGATTGGTTCCGAACCCGCTAATTTTTCTATTTTTTGAACTATACGGGACACCCTCATAAACAGTTGGAAGGTGACGAACGAACTCCCAAATCTCTTCACCGGTTACCTCAGGTGGTGGACCAGTTAACACCCTATTACCTGCCATAAATCCTTTTTGATCACGACGGAAAGGGTGTGTTCTAGGTAACCATCTCCGATGACAATCAAACCAACATGATTTCCCTCCATTTTTTAACTGGAAGGAATCCACCTCCCCCATGCAATATGGGCAGGCTAACTTGCCATGCGTACTCCAACCCGACAACATTGCATAAGCCGGGAAGTCGCTAACGGTCCATAGTAGTATAGCCCTCATCTCAAAATTATTCTTACGATACGCATCATACGTAAGAACACCCTCCATATACAATATTTTTAGATCATCTATTAGCGGCCTGAGAAACACATCCAAATTCTGACCGGGGCTCTTTCTACTAGGGATGACCAATGCAAGCTCAACATACGAATTTTTCAAAGCCATCCAAGGAGGTAGATTGTAGATGGTAATAAAGACGGGCCATAGTGAATACGGATTCGAAGTTGAATATTCCGGATCTCAGAAGCAAAGTCAGGATCCCTCATGTCGAAATGCTTCCAAGCTGCACCATCACTTGGATGTACCATTTCACCCGGTTTTGCCCGATGATCGTAATGCCAAGTCATCTCTTTCGCGGTCTTTGGAGACATATACAATCTTTGGAGTCTTGGAACAATCAGTAAGTACGTCAACACCAAGTTAGGGACCTTCTTTCATCCACTTGTCTTGTAACGACTTTCATTGCATACTCGGCAGTGAGTCAACCCAGAATCATGCTTGTAAAATAACATGCAATGATTTTTGCAAGCATCGATCTTTTGTTTTGGTAGAGCAAGATTTTTCAAACTCTTCTTCGTCTCGTAGAAGTTACAGGGTAATTTATCACCCTCAGGTAGCATACGCTTAAAAACAGGAAGCACTCTATTATATGTTGTATCGGGTACATTACATTCTGCCTTCCAATGCAACAAACTCGTCGCAGCCCCTAATTTTGAAAAAGTTTTACATCCATCCCATAAAGGCTCGTCAACAGTTTGTAACATGTTATAAAATCCTTGGGCAGAAGGATTAGGTGTTTGCTCTTCCCATGTCATGGCATCATGTACCATGTGATCGTTCACCATTTGAAAATAACTTTCATTGTGATCCACTATAAGATTAGAAGATTGACCCACGTCTTGATGAGATGCATGTAAAGAAAAGGTTTCACCATGTCCCCACCAAATGGTATAATCAGGCATGAAACCATATTTCATCAAGTGCAGTTTCACGTCTTCTCTTTCTTTGTAGGCTTCGTTTCGACACTTAGAGCAAGGACATCTGATGTGGAACACTATCCCATCACGTGTAGTTGCCTTTTCAACGTAATCTTCATTGGCATAGACAATGTCCAAAAAACCTTCCAAGTGTCTGACATAGGTCCGGCTAAGAGCCCCTCGATCATCATTCTTTCTATACATCCATCCTCTATCTGTTGACATATTCAATAACTGCAACAAAGAAAGAAGTAGTTAGTCGACAGAATCAACGTATAGGTTTAGAGGAGTTTCGGATTACTTTAAAGGTTTGACTACTTGAAAGTCAAACCGTAGGTGTGAATGAAATTGGCGGTCTTTGAAAGAGTTGAAAAG